TCAAAAAGGTAAGTTCAGTTTATTTTGAACAATGCCTGGGGTTGTGATACCGGTAAATTCAGTACATGTGACCGTTTTGGACAGTTGTGACCTCAGTTCCGCTACCTTGGTGCGTAATTAGGAACCCACGTACGCGAGAGTAGGATTCGACTGGATAGTTCATTAGTCAGTGTTTCGAATATTGTAGGTCTGAGGTGGAAGCCGTGTCATCACCATATTTCTTATAGTTCTTCTTCCGGGTGAAAACCGGAAGGTCAAAGTATCCTGTGAATAACTCAGACTCCAACGTGAAATTCTAATCTGACCGTAGTTGTGAGCACATTTACCATATCTCTGCATACTAATGGACTAAAACCTCATACTCACATAAAATTGGCACCCCACTCGACGTCCATCCATTCGGTGCATGAAGGGATTTTTTCAAATGTTGTGAAGAAAACCTTGCTACGGTTCCGGCTTATTGGGAACACGCTTTGCTTGAATTATCTGTAATTTCTCAGTTCCGACGGGTCGAAATGTTCGAGGACAGAAAAATAATTGCACAATGGCGCACGAAAGTTGCGGAACTATTTTTTTTATTACACAAGGTGAATAACAGTAAACGGGGAAGTCCCACGATCAAATAACATACTGTAAGGGGGGGGGGTAGGGGAACATCCACGTAAGATCCAGTTTACTGATTCGGCTTTTAAAGAGTGTAAGTTTGGGGAAAAATAACAAGGGGGAGTGTGTTCCACAGTTTGGCAGTTCGGGGGAGGGGTAGAAGGAAGATTGGAGGAGAGGGGTACGACATCTGGGAACATAAACCTGATAAGGATGACTAGATGCCTGTGTGCGGAATGGGCGGGTAAAAGTTGCAGGAAGAGGAACTGCCGAGGCAAGTTCCGAAGAACAAAAACCAAAGTAGAAGCGGTAGAACAAGGACAATGAGGCAAATGCCCGACGATGGGCTAGCGACTGTAGACTGGATGTTAGGGAAGGATCATCGACTAGCCGGATGGCCTTTCATTGAACACGATCATGTGACCACAGTATTCAAGAGCAGGGCGGATTTGAGCTTTGTACAAAAGAAGATGAGCTGGGGTGAAAAAACGTCTGGCGCGAAATAGAAACCCAACCTTGCGCACAACACGAGAAGCAAGCTTAGCTATAAAAGGGGACCAGCATAAAGAAGTTATAGGCAATCCAAGAAGAGAAACAGAGTCTGTGGAACACAGTTTGGTGGAATCAAAAGATAAATGAGGGGAGAATGAATGGTGTTTTAAAGAAATTGAAAGAAGAGAGATTTTAGAACTATTGAACGATACGTAGTTTGCAATGCCCCAGGAGGAGATGTGTTCGAGATCGGAGTCCAGTGACACATTAACTGCACTACGGTCACCATCGGTTTTGGTTTGGGCATGGCGAGCAGTGGAAGGTGGCGTCATCAGCAAAAGAATGGATCAGGTTGATAGTTTGGGAAAGGAGATCATTGATAAATAGAAGGAAGAGGGTGGGCGCAAGTACTGAACCTTGGGGAATACCAGCGTTCACAGGGAATGGCTGAGATAGAACCCCATCAACTCGGACGGAGATGGTTCGCTTACTGAGGAAACTTGATCTCCGAGCGCTGGAGGGAACCCGAACATGGGTAGTTTCACCAGTAGATCTTCGTGCCAAACTCGGTCGAAGGCCTTTGAGATGTCAAGTGAAACCAAGTGTGTTTCCCCGTGGTTATCGAATGGGGCTGACCGGGATTGCGAGGCAAGAGCCAGAAGGTCACCGGTGGAACGACGCGGTCGAAAGCCATACTGGCGATCGTTCAGTAGTCCTTCGCATTCAAGGAACGTGCGTAGCTGGTCAGAAATGATAGTTTCGAAAGAACAGATGTGAGGAAAATGGGTCGATAGTTGTTGGGGTTAGAAAGATCGCCGCGTTTGGGAATGGGAAAAATCACGGTGTGCTTCCAGGGGGTTGGAAAGGAAGAAATTTGGAGGGAAAGACAGAAAAGACGACGTAAAACAGGAGCCAGCTCGGGAGCACACATTTTGAGGACGATGGGTGGAATACCGTCCGGACCGGGTGGTCTGTTTGCGTTCAGAGAGCGCAATGTTTGACGGATTTTCCTAGTGCTGATATGAGATAGAAAAGGGTTGCCAGTGAAGAAGGAAGAATGTGGAGGTGTAGAAAAGTGAGGTAAAGTGGAATTGGCGGCAAACTGGGAAGCAAAAACCTCAGCTTTCTCGTGTGGTTGACAGACAAGATCACTAGAGGAATTACAGACAGGGGGAAGTTGGAAGGGTAGAAATTACGGGAAACTGTTTCGGCAAGGAACCAAAATGGTCGACTACAGGTGGCGGACGAGACTAAGTTTTCGGCGTTGCGGCGAACGAAGCGTTCTTTGGTTTTCTGAATAGTCGTCGAACATCTATTCCTAGCTTGCACGAAGCGATGGTGAGAGAGGGGAGTGGGCGAGCGGCGGAAGACTGAACGTTTAAGGGGTACAGCACGGTTAAACCAATCAGGGGATTTGGGCTTGGAAAAGTGTGGAATACATGCATACCTTGAAGAAAAAAGTGGGTGAAGTTGGTAACGGATTTGGAAACATCCGAAGAGAAACAACAATCNCGTTCCAGGGATAAGCAGCTAGGAAATCACGGAAACCGTCCCAGTTGGCGGAGTTGTAGCGCCAGAATGTGTCTCGGAGTTTAAAAACCTAATAGAGCAACAATACGGTGATTTGTTGAGCCAAGAGGAGGGAGGGTATCAATAACTGAGAAGAGAGAAGAAACCGAAGTGAGAACTAGATCGAGGGTGTGAGCACGATCGCCAACACAATCAGGGACACGTGTGGGGAGGTCAACTAGTTGGCTCAGGTTGTTGACCAAAGCGAAGTGTTCGGCTTCGCACCCCAAAGGAGAAGTAGCAGATGAATGTGTCAACCAGTCCTGATTGCAAACGTTAAAACCTCCCAAGATGGTAACATGACAGTTGGGGTCGGTAGCCAACAAATGTTCAATGTCCGAAAATAGGAAATCAAAGATGGTAGAGTAGCCGCTATTGGGGGAACGATAAAGAACACAAAAGTANAGATGGTAACATGTTAGTTGGGGTCGGTAACCACGATCCTGAAACTTGGAGTGGCAGACCACATAAGGCTTCAATAGATTAGGCGTGGTTGTAAGCTTACAACTGTGCGCAATTGCCATATGCACTGAATTCGCCGGTATCACAATCTCAGGCATTGTTAAAAATAAACAGTTGCCTCAACCTCTTATCTTTGTACTCTGTCTACTGTCGGTTCATCCGTGCTTCCAACTTCCACATGGGGACATCGAAGTGGTACGTGTATTATCATCCGTTGAATAGATGTTTGTTTACGAGTCCCACTGTTCCGTTGTCGTTCGTGTGATTTACGTTC